TATACACCTACCTGGTAAATGTGTCATCACAACAAAGACCATCGACATGTACTATACACCTACCTGGTAAAGGTGACGTCACAACAAATACCATCGACATGTAATATACACCTACCTGGTAAATGTGTCATCACAACAAAGACCATCGACATGTACTATACACCTACCTGGTAAAGGTGACGTCACATCATCAAACACCATCTTCATGTACTGTAGTCCTACTTGTTAAAGTCCATCACACAGATATAATAAATGTTATTATTCTACTGACCTTTATATTTACTCGATTCTTCCCAAAAATGATATGAATCTCTGCATTTGTGTTACGAAGGTGATGGGAGGCCACGAGAGTGGAAACGGGCCACAGGATGCATTCATGGTGTGGTTACACAATAACTACGTTAGTCGTAAAGACCTGGAGGAGCGCATGTCCCTCATGGCTGCTGATATCACCCGCCACATCTTGGCTGAGCAAAAGAAGGGAATGGAGCCCTCCATCACCATCACCAATTCTGGGGGTGGGGCCGATATATCTGAACAGGTGAGAAGGTTATATCATAGCAATTCATTGTTATGTGGAATGATTAAATTGAGTAATTTGTTTACTAAAGAGAGTTTTTACAGAAAAGCTTAAGATGGACAGCAGTCTGGTATTGTAAGCCTTGGCTTTATTTAAGGACTGGTTGCCATATTTTTGCCGTTTATTTGCGTGTAAACTACATCGGGCTTGCGATATATTGAATGGTGCGCGTTAGCGCACCATGTTAAATATATCGCAAGCCCGATGTCGTTTACACGCCAATAAACGTCAAAAATATGACAACCAATCCTTATATTTATATTCCAAACCAACAATATTAGTTGTGCAATGTTGCGAGTATTGTTAATTGCCGTTTTAAAACTCTTATACACACCGACAGGGTCAGCGGTAAATTGTTCGGAACAGCCGGGTAGTTTCGCATTCCACAGTCGTTGTCAAGGGCAACCAGGCTAAAAAAAAAAAAAACCAAGAAAGTTCCACAGTAAACACATCAATTTAATAATAGATTTTTTTTTATTTAAATGCATATATGTCAATTACCAAATTGTATACTAACATGTGACCATTTTAATATATGTTGTGGTCATTTAGCGATTTAACTGTCATACAATAACATTTTAAGACACAACACCGCGGAACATCGCCACTTGGCGGTAATTAGGTCAGTGTATCACTACATTGATCTAATCCCCGTTGTAGTTCATTGGAAAATATGTGACAATGGGGCCAGTAGAGTTATCTAGGCCCTATGCAGTGCAAATGTAAATATATACATATACAAATCGGTAATTTGTAAACTTCTACCAGAAATAAACTTACTGAGTCACTTAGGTGATGTATTGGTACAATGTATTATTGCCTTTTTCCATCATTGTGTGTCATTTGTTTTGTGTAAACAAACATATTTTATGATTTATCAGAAACTGTCCTCTCAGATTTTGATGAAACTTGGGGGGTAATCATCACAAGAGGGCCAACATTACATAAAATGATCCATGGGTGTTGAGGATCAGAATCTAGATTCAAGAAGAGGCTGACTGACCCCATAGGCCTGTTGTTAATGAAAAATGTCACATATTCCTGTATCAGAATAACATTCTGGTGTGCAATACTTTGTTGAAGTAGTGTGACTGAATTATATCTTCTTAATTCAAACAGCTAATAAGGACCATTGTAGATGATGCTCTACTCAAGTACAGTGCAGACAAGATTGGACTACCAGATTTTGCCCTGGAATCTTCTGGTATGTTTCATTATAGACAAGATTTGGCTGCCTGCCTTTGCTCTGGAACCCTTTGTTAAACTTCTACTTTTTTAACTGCCACTTGTATCCTTCCAAGGTTATAGTTTTCTCTTAATAAAAGGAATTTCAGCCAGTTAACCAATTACTAAAATCAATGAGCAAATAGTTTGACATGTGATTTCTCTATTTTTCAGGAGGAAGTGTGATAAGCACGAGGTGCTCCGAGACCTACCATAAGAAAACAGCTCAGTACAGCATCATGGGTATACCCCTGTGGTACGCCTCAAACTCTCCTCGTACCGTCATACAGGTAAACCTACACACAAAATGTAAATTCATACCTGTGGTACACCTCAAACTCTCCTCGTACCGTCATACAGGTAAACCTACACACAAAATGTAACTACATACCTGTGGTACGCCTCAAACTCTCCTTGTACCGTCATACAGGTAAACCTACACACAAAATGTAACTACATACATGTGTTACGCCTCAAACTCTCCTTGTACCATCATACAGGTAAACCTACACACAAAATGTAACTACATACCTGTGGTACGCCTCAAACTCTCCTTGTACCGTCATACAGGTAAACCTACACACAAAATGTAACTACATACCTGTGTTACGCCTCAAACTCTCCTTGTACCATCATACAGGTAAACCTACACACAAAATGTAACTACATACCTGTGGTACGCCTTAAACTCCCCTCGTACGGTCATACAGGTAAACCTATACACAAAATGTAACTGCATACCTGTGGTACACCTTAAACTCTCCTTGTATCGTCATACAGGTAAACCTTCACACAAAATGTAACTACATACCTGTGGTTCACCTTAAACTCTGCTCGTACCGTCATACAGGTAAACCTACACACAAAATGAAACTACATACCTGTGGTACGCCTCAAACTCTCCTCGTACCGTCATACAGGTAACCCTACACACAAAATGTAACTACATACCTGTGGTACGCCTTAAACTCCCCTCGTACCGTCATACAGGTAAACCTATACACAAAATGTAACTACATACCTGTGGTACACCTTAAACTCTCCTCGTACCGTCATACAGGTAAACCTACACACAAAATGAAACTACATACCTGTGGTACGCCTCAAACTCTCCTTGTACCGTCATACAGGGAAACCTACACACAAAATGTAACTACATACCTGTGGTACGCCTTAAACTACCCTCGTACCGTCATACAGGTAAACCTATACACAAAATGTAACTACATACCTGTGGTACACCTTAAACTCTCCTTGTATCGTCATACAGGTAAACCTTCACACAAAATGTAACTACATACCTGTGGTACACCTTAAACCCCTCTCGTACTGTCATACAGGTAAACCTACACACAAAATGTCACTACATACCTGTGGTACACCTTAAACTCTCCTTGTACCTTCATACAGGTAAACCTTCACACAAAATGTAATAACATACCTGTGGTACACCTTAAACTCACCTTGTACCGTCATACAAGTAAACCTTCACACAAAATGTAATAACATACCTGTGGTACACCTTAAACTCTCCTTGTCTAACAGTTAATGATGTTTGTACTTCACAGCCGGAGGTCCATCCAGGATCATGCTGGGCATTCCAGGGAAGTCAGGGCCACCTGGTAGTGGAACTCTCAACTATTATAACGCCAACAGGATTCTCGCTTGAGCACATTCCAAAATCTGTAGCACCAAATGGCAAAATTGACAGCGCTCCCAAGGATTTCCTTGTACAGGTATTGGACATATCTGGTTTAATTTGAACAGTTTATGTCCATAATGAAATAGTTATCTGCTTATCAGGTAACTTTGTTCTTCATTTGATAGAACTCTGTAACTTTAACTCACCTTTGGAATGGGGTGTTAGACCCATTAGGTAAAATGGGAAAACGAAATCTCTTCTTTAAGAATAACTGGGTTGATTTTACATTAAATTGTTCAGAAATATGCCTGGGGCATGGATTATTAGACCGGACACTACAAAGTTAGATTAGATATACTGGTGTATTCAGTCTTTCTGTCATGGATAAAAGGTTTTCTGAACATTTCCTCCTTGATTGATTTCAATAAATTTTTCATTAAATTTAATACAATGAAAGTTTCTGGGGTGATACATGGGGATATAATTCACGTTGAATGGACATCTATTAATTTTTGCTTTTCAAGATGGCCACTGATTGGTCGATACATTTATAGTAACAGTCCCTGTTCAGAACTTATCGTATGAGGACCATAGCTGTAAATATTTTTTAAAGACTTTTATGAAAATTTGCAACCATTTTCATTGCAGAGCAGGGCGTATGTACTGTTCTAGTTCAATGGACATGTGTAGAATGTGTTGATGAATGCTTAGCTAAGTTTTACATCTTAATGTTGTGTACCATTGCAGGGAATGACAGGCGAGAAGGATGTGTCTGGTAAAGTGTTGGGGAACTACACCTACAATGATGACGGCAGACCTCTCCAGTTTTTCCCTATACAGGTATGCCTTTATTCAATGTGTTGACATACTGTTAAAAAGCAGATGTGTCCCTAGACTTACTGTAGCTGACCTCTCCCTTACGTTATACAGATTTTTTATTACTGTTTACTTACTGAAGCTGGAGATGCCGTTGAAATTCTGTGCCTTGGTACACCTGAATAACATATAAACTAAATTGAAACGTTACTATACCCTGCCAACATTGAGGGGAGTATATAGCAATAGCTTTGCCGGTCTGTTTGTTTTTCCATCTGTCCCTGTCGTCTATATAACATACATTGTAGTGGTTAATGCTTGAACTAATGTAAAGACAGACTAAGGAAATGAAATGTGGTACACGTTTGTGGTAAAAATTTGGATGCTATAATTTACAGGTATCAGACCCAGGATTTTTCAAGTTTGTGGAACTCAAGATCCTCAGTAACCATGGTAGCCCAGTATTCACATGTGTGTACAGATTCCGTGTCCATGGCTCTCCGTATACAGGCTGATCCAAGGACATCTGCCATAGAGAGTAATTCTACAGGGTCAAGATAGTGGTGAAAGATATGTGTTCATGGCATAGGTTGGTCCTGACTTTGGGCAACAGTTTACAGGAGTGGTAGGTCTTGACTTTAGGACAACAGTTTACAGGAGTGGTAGGGCTTGGCGTTAGGACAACAGTTTACAGGAGGGGTAGGTCTTGACTTTAGGAAAACAGTTTACAGGAGTGGTAGGGCCTGACTTTTGGACAACAGTTTACAGGAGTGGTAGGTCTTGACTTTGGGACAACAGTTTACAGGAGGGGTAGGTCTTGACTTTAGGAAAACAGTTTACAGGAGTGGTAGGTCCTGACTTTAGGACAACAGTTTACAGGAGTGGTAGGTCTTGACTTTGGGACAACAGTTTACAGGAGTGGTAGGTCCTGATTTTGGGACAACAGTTTACAGATTAGTAGATACATACATTGGTGAACTACAGAGATCTGAGATGTGTTCAGGGTACTAAAGACGAATCTCGATGAAATTCTATACAGGGATGTAAAGTAACTGTTGTGAAGTGATGCTACACACAAAATGATTCTGACCAAACCAAAAGGTGCATCATGACTAATTGACCATTTGATAGCAGCAAGGTTACATGTGGAAAGGAAGTGAATCATTAGTAGACAGTTGGTGCTTGTGATGTTTGTTTATACACTATCCAGTGTATTGACCATTATACAACACACAGAATATACAACAGTGATATCATCGGACCCTCTGAAGTATCCATGCTTGAAGAAATTTTGAAGAATTAAAAGATATTATGCTGACCATGCAAAATGTTTTATAAGTATTTGGAAACCTATGGGTAGCAACTTATATACACGTAAGTGCATTGATAAACACAGGATTATTAAACTTGAAAAGAATGCACATCAAATGTAATGTAGGATACCAAGATACAAATGTCTCATATGAAAATTTAGAACATTGTATCCAAAACAAATACTTAATGATTTAAGATCAGAATTTCTTGGAGATGAAATTTGCTACAGAATATGTTGGGATTGTGTAATCAGATGGTGGGCTAAACAGATTGCCTTTTGTTTTGGTCCATCATCCTTCAAGTAGTTCTTGTGACAGATGTTTCTCCGATGTGAAATGTAGGTTCCCCTTGGTTGATAGTTTTGCATGTTTAATATTAGACTGATTGGAAGAACCTGGCCATCTTTGATTTTGGGAGTTCAAGTTGTTATTTCTGAATTAATACTGGATGGATCTTTCTCAAATTCTATAGGTTCTCATTGATCCTTAGTTGTACATGTTTTATTTTGAGACTGATCAAGAATTAAGCAATTGGTTTTATTATCACTATTTCTCAGATTTCACAATTAAGTTCTCTTTGGTTCTTAATTGTGCATGTTCAATTTGGGCAACAATCCTAGAACTTGACAATTAAAGTGCATAGTCATTATTTCTCTGAATGTTCTAGAGAGTTCTAGAGTAAGTAGGTTATTCATGTTCCCTAGTTCTGCTTATTTCATTTTGAGCTTCATACTGCTTCATTCTATTGCTGCCAGAAATCAGAAATATCTTTTGTTCTATTTCTTTTTTTACATATATTAAAGTTCTAGTAAAAAGGTAAATTACAACCTCACTTTGAAAGGATAATGTCAAACACAGCAGCAGCAGCAACTTTTGATCTAAAGTTAGCACAAGATGTATAACCTGATACATTTGAGTGCTTTGATTATGTTTGGGCTTATCTCACCAAAATTAATGTTGATGAGTGTGTTGAAGAAATGTCTACGTTGGTAAAAAGGAGTGCAATGGTGTAAGTTAGTATGGTGAATGGGCGAGGATTGGTTGAACCATTTAAGTGCTGTCAGGTGAACATGTTTGTGTAATTTAATGATAGTTCATTTTTTGCTGTGTATCAAATCAAGAATCAGAACATGCTCTAAAGTGCTGTAATGACCACAGTTTCCTATGTTTATATAAGGTTGTCATTTTCTTCAAAAATAACGGTTGTGTAGGTTTTATAAGGTTACCTCAAGCAGTTGATCTATTGCCATCCATCTTTGTCTCTTATTGTCCATTAACAGTTGATAGTTTCCACTTTATCTCATTCTAATAACCATAACTATGAGGTACGTGTAGGGTCATAACATTGGCCTGTAGTTAGCTGAGATGGAGGGCTCCTGATACTAGCAAGTGTAAAATGTTTTACCTTTTTATATGATTTATTATACTTGGCTGACTGTCAAATCCCAGGGCTGCCTTCCTTCATAGGATCTGCTGTTTGACTCGAGTCAAAGTTTGTTGTAGACCTGATTAAGAGATTTGTATATATGTTTTTAAATATGATAGTTTTTTTTTGTGTATTTTGTTTATAAAAACCAAATTGACCATTGTCCACATGATAGAGACAGACTGTGTAATAACCTAGCTACTAGGACTTTAGATAGCTGTACATGTTGTAGTCATCAATCACCTTTACATTACAATGTCTTGTGCATTTAAACATCAACATGTAGTAGAAGCGAAACAAAATTTCAAAATCAATCCATGAAATAGAATTTATAAAAGGTTGTCCAATATAACAATAAAACAAATTGCACAGTTATAGGTATTGAGATATGACTCACCTTTAATTTGGCATAACTGTTTTCACATTTTATTCCAAGTGTATGTTTTACATATGAATTATTGCTCCTGTCATACTTGAATGAAGCAAATAAAAAAGAAAAGCATAATATAAGCAAATTAAATAATTTAAGATTCCAAAGGAAATAGCTTAAGGATTTACCTAAAAGTACAAAATGTACATATACTACGTATTTGTACAACACATGCAACAAGACTGCCAAACCTTGCCTTGCCTGCCAGTAATGTTTTAGGTACAAATGTCATAAATCAAATTTTTTGTTTTGTTTAGGAAATATTTCAATTTCAATAATCATAGCATGAATCTAAAAAAAAATCGTAAATATGCAAAATTGGACTAATTAGAGGTAAATGTAATCATTTTGAGTCCCTACAAACGTTTTCAGCTACCGGGTTTACAAAATGAGAGATTCCAAACGTTGTTCCTGTTGATTTTCATAGTTTATACAGCTATAAGTACCAGATTTTAATTTATTGTCTGTGTTTTATTTGTTTTTACTATAGCTATAATATGGTAATTTTATTTGCAATAGCAGTTTGTTTAGATTTATTTTCCGTTGTTTTGTTTTCATTCCAGGCAGTGTAACTTTGACAATTCCTTGTCAAATTTTAGATATTTTTTTTTAGATTGTTTTAGCTTTTGTCGGTGTTAAAGTTCTAATAGTGTGTATACATGTATTTTATGTAATTGTGGTGTATAGATAAGCGTAGTTTATACATATTCAATATTACTGTGTATGATGCTTACTGCTCAAGTTATCAATGACATTTTATTTATTATGATATTAACGCTTTTATATTTAAATTACAATTACACATAACCATTACATATGATTACAGTGTAAATTAAGGAAGGAGTCATATCATGTATGGCGTTTTAACCAGTTACAAAACCAACCAACACAGTGTCAGCAGCAATTTTTAAGGGTGGATCCTCAATACAAGATTTCTGTCCTTGTGATGAGGTATTTGAACTGATCTCATTAGGTTAAAACTTCATTAATTGGAATCAAAATGGTTAAATAACATTTTAACATAACAGGACAATATTTTTTCCTAATCATTCTGACCATGACAATAACAAAATTGCCTTAATATTTATTGTGAGACAGAACAAATGCAGGTATCCCACCCAAATTGTTCACCACTTTTTTCAAAATTATTCAAGTTAAGTACATATATATCTTTGTTCACTTTGTGTATTGACACTCTCTTGTGATATAAATACCCTTTTCATTTAATGTACAGTCTGTATTGACACTATTTTTTCCTAAAATGTCCTCTACTTTATGTTAATTTACACTTTTTTGTGAGGTTAATGTCCTCTTCATTGACCCTGTTTTGTGATGTGACTTTAATGTTTTTTCATGTGTGTTGGGATATGTTCATAGGTTCATTAAGGCAGAAACTTAAATTTGATATTCTATAGAACAATAATTATAACAAGCTCCCAAGGACTTCAGAAATTGGTTTGCTAATTACAAGTGTTAATGGTCGATGACAAGGGTCATAAATAGGGTTTTGTTAAGAGCATGAATTCATAATAAAATGAGTTTACCTGGTAATTGTATCCTTATTGCTCGACTTGTCCATCTGCAAATATTTTTGTAATTAAGTTAGCGATTTTTCATAATACATATGTAGGATATCTGATTTTTAAATGACTTTTTTTTTATAGGTTGAATGAAGCCTATTAATGAAATATGAATTGTCCTGTTATTTGAAATTTTCCTTCCAGATTATTATGATACAACTAAGATCAATTGATTTCGATTTGGATTTCTCTGATGTCACTGTTTTCACTATTGGTTTTATTGGAGTTGAATGTAGTTCAGATAGAGGTCATTATAAATTTACGATTTGTTACGATGTGTATGTTTCTTGTGTAACCATTTATTTTTGGCATTGTTTGTTTTCTCCACATCCTTTGTGTTCATTTTAAGAATAAAATATTTTAGATTGTTTGGGAAAGTCTCAAGTTCTATGTGGTCAAGCCCACCCATTATAGTTAACTCTTATGTCCCAAAGTGGCACTCCACTCACCATCATTGTGAGATATGAAAGTTTCAGCATAAAAATGTAGGTCATTGATCAAAATTTTAGAAGGGACAGTAGGCATAGCCTTTATAAGTTCTCTCCAGAAGGCAGACAGTAAGTAATATTTACTTATTATTATTTTTTATCCCGAAACCTAGACTGACCAGCTGACTAGGTCAAAGTATATGTTATTGTTGTCAGGTTATATAAGGTAGACAGGAGTTGTCCACGTTGTCCATCTGTTGTATGTTATTGATATACATGTATGTTTCACGTTTACTGTGACATCTGTTAGGCAGCAACCTAAAATAAAATACTTAAAGATTAACTTTAGTTAGTTTGTTTGGTTCTGTTTTACATCCTATTAACAGCTATATGGTCATGTAAGGACTTGCCAGGTTTTGGTGGTGGAGGAAAGTCGGAGTTTCCGGAGAAAAACCACCGACCTATGGCCAGTACCTGGCGACTGCCCCATGTAGGTCTCGAACCCGCGACCCAGTGGTGGAGGGCTAGTGGTAGCAGAATGTCAGACGCCTGAACCACCGCGGCTATTTAATGGATCAATATATCCCAATCAGCATATTCTATCGCCTCACAATACTTCAAACATTCTTGAGCAAATCTTTTGACTTGCCCTATTTTACTTGGATCCTTGGAAACTTCACTTTGTCCATGACAAAGTCTTATCTTTATTCTCCTTCCTGTTTGTAAAAAGGCAAAGAGAGAGGGAGAAGAGGAGACAAAGGATGGATGAAGATGAAAGAACCAAGGATAATTGAGACACTGACTATTCCTCCGACATTGATAAATATTTAAAATATTACAACAATCACCTGCGGCCATAACTCTTCCTGGCAAATGTCTAAAGAAAATTCACATGTAAAATAAGGTCATAGTTTTCAGTGGATTTTTGGAAAGATGACTATTGTCTTCAGTATTTAAGCCCCTCATTTTAAAGACCCTTGAACTGCCACTGGTTTAAGGTGCTTTATCGAACATTCACTTTCTATTTACTCCTTTAAAAAAATAATGTATCCTACAATTGCCTGGGAGGTTTATCAATAATGTGTCATCTACGTTAAATGGACCCATTCTTTCAAATATCCTGGATCTGCCACAGGTCTTTGTAGCACTTGGCTAAGTACATGTTTTAAGCGCTAGGCCAATGGCCTACGTGTACGATCACAACAAAACGGGGAAACCATTGTGAATGTTTTCCAATAGGAATATGTTAGAGTCTTTCCGTAGTTCCTTTAAAGAAATTCTTAGACGGTTTCTGATTGGCGTTTGTCTCCCGTCTAAGCCATAGAAGACACAACGTTGTTCCCACAGAAGTGGCTGTTCCTCCACTTTGTTAAAAATTAAAATTCTTCAAAATCCAAAACGGGTTGCATGCATACGTAATTACGTCAAAACAATAATGATATCAATCTTATCCTTATTGGCATACCAATTCCTGAAATTCCCGTAAAAATGGCCGACAGGTGGAAATCTTGGATTTTGACAGTTAGGTTTTGTTATCTCTATTTCTCTGAAAGTACCAGAGAGATGTTTCTCAAATTGTATGTGTGTTTTCCCCTTGTTTAAAAATATCCCTGATTCTAATGAGAATTCATTCTTCATTGACAGCACATATTAACTATGTCAGAATTACAAGTTTTTAGTAATTCTTATACAATGACATATGACATGTCAAGATTTAAGTTGATGTACGAGATGTACGGAAAATGAAGGCAGAGAAGGTAAAATATTATCTTTTGTAGATTCTCATTAAGATCCTCTCATGGTGGGCGCCAAGATCCTTCCATGATCTTTTTGTTTCCAACAACATCTAGTTGACGAAACAACCCAACACAAAGCAAAAATGTACAATGATTTTATTCACTATGAGGCGTTAACAATGATATGGACTGACCACGTAGGTGGTGTGGGACTGCTCAAGCCATTGGGAAAACAGGCAGGTTCTGAAAGTAAAACTGTACTTGTAAACAAATTGTCGGACATTTAAAGTACATATACTTGTATACGTTTAAGAAAAATACGCTGAAATGTTATGACGTTATGGAAACATCCTCATGTTTTACGACGTAATAAACTTGATGATCGTGACGTTGTGGTAAACACCATGCCACAGGCCTAGTGGTATACCGTTAGTGATCACAGACCGAGACACTTGTGGGAAGTCGCCCAAGAAAATGGCATGCAATACAAAGAAGTGTTTTATGAATGCATTTATAATGACAATATGTGCATTAAATTGTTCATCGACTTTGCAATAGCTGGCTACACGGGCAATAGCTGGCTCAGTAGCTGGTTACACGGACAGTTTGAGGTTGAAAATAGTTACCAACCTATTACTTTCACAATTTATTCCGAAATAATCAGAACCTGCTTTTGGCTCTAAAGCATTTCAAATATATGTACATTTCATCCCAAAATGTTATCTAATTGCATTCTATCGTAACCACGCGCTGGAAATATCACGTTGTAATAGAAAATTGTGTCCTGTATATTTATGAAAATTGAACTAATATGAATAAAATTGATATTATGGCGAAAAAATGCATAAATATTTAACAAACAAAATCCCGTTCTGGGTTAAAAAGAATTAATTACTTGGTTATCGCGGAAATGTTAACCAGTATCTTGTCTATTGTGTAGGTTAGGTGTACTTACGGAGTGGATAAGTGGAACATTATCACAGAAAGCCGGGGGCATGAACACTGAGGAGTCCTTGATCCCAGGGGTGATATTACTGTAACCGACGGACTGCATGTACCGGTCTGAAGGAAGCAAAGTTGTCATTAACACATACTGCGAAACAATCACTTCTCGGGAGAGGACATTTTCTATCAGAAGATTGTCACTCATCTGAACTCTTTAATTGACAGAAAGTTAAGTCAGTTGCATTCTCGTTTGACATACTTGAATGCAGGAATATGATATTTGCTTTCTAAAACGTTATACAAAACTACTACAATGAAATAATATATCTACGTGAAAGGACGATGGAAATGCGATGGGCGTCCGTCAATAGTTCCGATCGAGGTCCCAGACTTGTATAACAAATTTGCATTTTCATATCGTGGTCGCGGCCCCAATTTGTAGCATTGCGCGGAACATGCGACAAGTTAGAATCGCCAAATTATAAACAGAAACTTTGTCAACTGAACTACATGATCACCTGCGATCTATCCAGCCCAGATCCATTATAATTCATTCGGAAATTCATGTACCGAATAATTTAGTGAGGGTCAAAATACTAAAATAATTTCTTATGGGTTGGTTTTCAAATTACCCAAAATATACCGTGAAAATACAACTTACTTCCAGCGTAATCTCCATAAATCACTTCTTGTACTGGTGCGCACGTGTCTTGTGTAACGGTTGCCAACACATTAAAGCCGTGCCTGACGTAGCTGTACGCAGTAACGTTGAGTGGAGTAATGGCGCCGTAGTAAGTATCGCCATCATTGTGAGCATTGGCTATTTGAATGAAAACAAAGAATATATGTAGGAAAGGACACGACAGAAAAAGCATCCATTGCTTGGTCCAGTGGACAAAAGTTACGTGCTAGTTACGGCCAGTACCTGGCGACTGCCCCATGTAGGTCTCGAACCCGCGACCCACAGGGTAACTGGCTTAGTCCAGTGGACCATTGAAGTTACGTGTTAGTTACAGTGTAACTGGCTTAGTCCAGTGGACCATTGAAGATACGTGTTAGTTACAGTGTAACTTGCTTAGTCCAGTGGACCCTTGAAGTTACGTGTTAGTTACAGTGAGACTGACTTAGTCCAGTGGACCCTTGAAGTTACGTGTTAGTTAAAGTGAGACTGACTTAGTCCAGTGGACCCTTGAAGTTACGTGTTAGTTAAAGTGAGACTGACTTAGTCCAGTGGACCCTTGACGTTACGTGTTAGTTGCAGTGAGACTGACCTAGTCCAGTGGACCCTTGAAGTTACGTGTTAGTTACAGTGAGCCTGACTAAGTCCAGTGGACCCTGGAAGCTACGTGTTAGTTACAGTGAGACTGACTAAGTCTAGTGGACCCTTGAAGTTACGTGTTAGGTACAGTGAGACTGACTAAGTCTAGTGGACCCTTGCAGTTACGTGTTAGTTACAGTGAGACTGACTAAGTTTAGTGGACCCTTGAAGTTACGTGTTAGTTACAGTGAGACTGACTTAGTCCAGTGGACCCTTGCAGTTACGTGTTCTTTACCGTGAGACTGACTAAGTCCAGTAGACCCTTGAAGTTACGTGTTAGTTACAGTGTAACTGGCTTAGTCCAGTGGACCCTTGCAGTTACGTGTTCTTTACCGTGAGACTGACGAAGTCCAGTAGACCCTTGAAGTTACGTGTTAGTTACAGTGAAACTGGCTTAGTCCAGTGGACCCTTGACGTTACGTGTTAGTTACAGTGTAACTGGCTTAGTGCAGTGGACCCTTTAAGTTACGTTTTAGTTACAGTGTAACTGGCTTAGTCCAGTGGACCCTTGGAGTTACGTGTTAGTTACAGTGTAACTGGATTAGTCCAGTGGACCCAAGTGACGTGTTAGTTACAGTGAGACTGACTAAGTCCAGTGGATCCATGAAGTTACGTGTTCTTTACCGTGATACTGATTAAGTCCAGTGAAAAAATGCATAAATATTTAATAAACAAAATCCCGTTCTGGGTTAGAAAGAATGACTGGCTTAGTCCAGTGGACCCTTGAAGTTACGTGTTAGTTACAGTGTAACTGGCTTAGTCCAGTGGACCCTTGAAGTTACGTGTTAGTTACAGTGTAACTGGCTTAGTCCAGTGGACCCAAGTGACGTGTTAGTTACAGTGTAACTGGCCTAGTCCAGTGGACCCTTGAAGTTACGTGTTAGTTACAGTGAGACTGACTAAGTCCAGTGGACCCTTGAAGTTACGTGTTAGTTACAGTGAGACTAAGTCAAGTGGACCTTTGAAGTTACGTGTTAGTTACAGTGCAACTGGCTTAGTCGAGTGGACACTTGAAGTTACGTGTTCGTTACAGTGTAACTGGATTAGTTTAGTGGACCCAAGTAACGTGTTAGTTACAGTGAGACTGACTAAGTCCAGTGGACCCTTGAAGTTACGTATTAGTTACAGTGAAGATGACTAAGTCCAGTGGACCCTTGAAGTAACGTGTTAGTTACAGTGAGACTGACTTAGTCCAGTGGACCCTTGAAGTTACGTGTTCTTTACCGTGAGACTGACTAAGTCTAGTGGACCCTTGAAGTTACGTGTTAGTTACAGTGTAACTGACTAAGTCCAGTGGACCATTGAAGTAACGTGTTAGTTACAGTGAGACTGACTAAGTCCAGTGGACCCTTGAAGTTACGTGTAAGTTACAATGAGACTAAGTCCAGTGGACCCTTGAAGTTACGTGTTAGTTACAGTGTAACTGGCTGAGTCCAGTTGACCCTTGAAGTTACGTGTTCGTTACAGTGTAACTGGCTTAGTCCAGTGGACCCAAGTAACGTGTTAGTTACAGTGAGACTGACTAAGTCCAGTGGACCATTGAAGTTACGTGTTAGTTACAGTGAGACTGACTAAATATAGTGGACCTTTGAAGTTACGTGTTAGTTACAGTGTAACTGGCTTAGTCCAGTGTACCCCTGAAGTTATGTGTTCGTTACAGTGTAACTGGCTTAGTCCAGTGGACCCCTGAAGTTACGTGTTAGTTACAGTGTAACTTGCTTAGTCCAGTGGACCCAATTGACGTGTTCGTTACAGTGAGACTGACTAAGTCCAGTGGACCAAAGTTCATTACAGTGAGACTGACGGAAGATATACGTTAACATAAGGATGTACGTCAACAGACGGAAGTAGTTAACAGACGGGAGTACATAAACAAACGGTAGAAACATTAACAGACGGGACTACATAAACGTTAACAGATGGGAGTACATAAACGTTTACAGACGGGACTACATAAACGTTTACAGACGGGACTACAGAAACGTTTACAGACGGGAGTACATTAACAAACGGCAGAAACGTTTACAGACAGGAGTACATAAACACACGGTAGAAACGTTTACAGCCGGGAGTACATAAACAAACGATAGAAACGTTTACAGACGGGAGTACATTAACAAACGGTAGAAACGTTTACAGACGGGAGTACATAAACACACGGTAGAAACGTTTACAGACGGGAGTACATTAACAAACGGTAGAAACGTTTACAGACGGGATTACGTATAAACACAGTAAAACTATGCATAAAAGTTGGAAGACGAGTTAGAATAGGTAGGTCTTGACGAGGAAACCATACATATATGAATTATGCTTTAATTTAGCTTCACTACCTCAGGAAAGTTACAACTGTGCATTTGTCTTACTGTTATACAAACTTGTAGAATCTAGAAATTTACCATAAAAACTAAAAAGTACTTACATGGAATGCAGCTTTCTAAAAAGCTTCCAAGAGTAGTCCTGGTACATTTTGGTCCCTGAATGGTGTACTGAATGCCCTGTTGAAGAAGACATATACATTAATATTTAATATGGATACTCAGAAAGTTGCGTTTGTATGCACCCTAGTGTCTACAGACTTCAGGCGATACTTATATGTACTTACTGCTGTTTATATATGGCGACACCTATTATGTACTTACTGCGCTATAGTCGAGGATGACTCCTGCGGTGCCGCTGAAGTTGCCCGAGCTGAGTGACTCTATGGTGGCGACACGCTTGTTTATGGCGTCATATGATATCATATAGGATGACTGTAATACAGAATGATAATAATATATGTGTCAAACGACGTCAATTACACGTCACCATACATAGGGATGCTTACTTATATCATACTCATACTGTTCGAATTACAAATTTCATTACGAATGTCAGAAAATCGGGCCGTCTCTAAATATGTGATTCTTACGACATTTGTTTTATTGGCGTGTAATCAATTTACTTCGGGATATTTTCTTGGTTGTTGATCATTGTTCAGGGTAGAACCCTGACACACTTCTCGTATCGGTGCTAGTATTGACCTATCTGATCATTAATTCAGCTTATGTATGAATTACAGGAACTTGTTACCCTGTATCAGCCGTCAATATCACTGCGGTCGGAATCAGAATCTTTGTTGTGTGTCCAAAAATCTCGTACTGTGACCTATACGGAAACAGATGCTTTGGGAGGGTTTCGGCTACGTTGTGGAATAGCTTACCATCTGCTATTAGGAAGTCGAATACCCTGGCGACATAAAAACTCACCTCTTCACGTCTGTATTTTAGAATCTTTGCAAAGACGTCATGTAAATACCACCCTTTTATTTGTTCAATTATGTGCACATTGCTTGTTAAATGTATGAAAGTGATTGCAAGCCTTTGTTGTTTGTTTTCACAATTATAACCATTACTATTATCCATATGTTGTAAAGCGCCTTAAAGTAATTTTACAAATTATATAGGGCGCTATATAAATGCTGTATATTATATTATATTATATTAAATATGTTGATTTGTTAAGAAAAAAAAACTTCAATCAGATGTTTATAGTTTTAAAAAATAGACAATAGATTCAACCTTAATTATTTCTTTCTTTGTTTATTAGAAGATGATAAATATCGCAGTAAAGCGTCATGATCAATACTTTTGAAAATAATGTATATTTTCTTTCTTTTTTTGGTGTAAAATAGATGCATTGCTCTTATAGTTAAAACAGAATATTTGGCTCTGCGTTCTAGCAAACTTTTTTCAAAAATCAACTCCTTACAGTTTTGAATACTCGATTTACCAAGTACACATCTGAGTAAATATTACGAATTTCGCTTCAAAGAGCACGTTGACAAAGTTCGTACTTACAGACAAAATCATGGGTTCCACGTCGTTGGGTTGGATGGCGGCCAGAACGTTCCCCTGTACGCCCTCCCATTGTTTGGGCACACAACAGATCTGGGCCCCTACCACTGCGGCGACGGACAAAGTGACTAGGACTTGAAGCATGTTGACTGTGGTGAGGTGATTCCTGTGGCGTCCTCTCAAGTAGTGACTCCTGAAACACAACTGCCCGCTCTACTTAGACCAGTGAACGTGACCTATCGCTCCTGTCCATCTCCTTATCAACTCTTATCATATAGAGCTTGACTTAGACTACTCGGTGACATTGTCTTACTCAATATCATTAAAGTTATCTTTGACACATGAAGTACCTATATACGATCACCCCAATAATATGATGTATTTTCTCATGTAATATGTATAAAGAAAGCTTTATAAGAAACTATTTTTTCACTTGTTCAAGTCTATCCGGACATTTGGATGGCTATTGTTAAATAATTTGTTACAAAATCGACAAATCAGTATTTGAAGATGAACTGTTGATGTTTTTCATTTTGATCCTATACTTTTGAAGTATGTTTCCTAAATCTTGTATTGCTAGCAAAGGTATTCATAATCTTGTACGGCTGACTAATAGAATCTTCCCCTACCTTTAGGGTGTGGCAGAGAAATCTCCTACCCGAGGGGTGGTTTTTTTGGTTGTCTAACCCGAGGCTCTTAATTCTCTGTTACACCCTCAAGGTAGGGGATGGTTATTTTTCTCCCATCTTATTATTTTAGTCTCACCTCCACCAACAATAATGTACCAAGTTTGTAAACCAAAGCACATGTGGGGTATGAATATCGTTATTCGCTTTTGATGACGTCACAATTACCGGTGACGCATTTTAATGACGTCACAATTGAACACGTGCTAATCGGCACGAGACTATCTCCCCCTAGGGGTGACAATCTGATCTTTCCCGGCTAAAACGAGAGACACGCCTGTGAAGGGTGTGAGAAAACGTTTTCTCGCACCTCAGACCGGGGTATCCCACGCCATACCCAAAGCTAGATTTTTCTACACTACACTACACTACGATGTATTCATTCGCGCATTAACTGCTTGAAATTGACAATTTGCATTATAGATGTTCTGTTTTGACGTTATTGTATAGTTTTGATGTTGTTAGATATTTGATGTTGTAGATAAAATATAATCTACATTGTGAAATACGTTGTAATCTATGTAAGGACGGACTACGTTTTTACGCGGAAGCATTCAAATGTAGCTTAAGCAGTGAAGAGGTCATCATCATTTGAGGCCCTAGGCGGGATACTTACAGTTTTTAGCAAAATAAAAAAAAAATCGAAATAAAAGGTGCGAGAAAAAAATCAAATACCTGTAACTGAGCAAGATCGGGTTTTTCTCTTACCCTGGACAGGTGTATCTGCACTTTTACCAGTGTGAGATTTCCTTTTCTCTTACCCTGGACAGGTGTATCCACACTTTTACTGGTGTGAGATTTCCTTTTCTCCCACACCTGACAGATTTATTTTGGGTCCATGTTTACCTTTATTTCACATTAAAATACTGTTAGATTTTGGAGAAAAATAATCAATCGCTACTGGTTGTGTAAGATAGAGAAATATCAACCCTCGGACTAAGATTTTTTGTTCATAAAAATCTTAGTCCTCGGGTTGAGATTTCTCTATCTTACACAACCAGTAGCGATCGATTCTATTATTCTCTTACCCTGGACAGGTGTATCCGCACTTTTACCGGTGTGAGATTAATAGAATCTATCGCTACTGGTTGTGTAAGATAGAGAAATCTAAAAATCTTAGTCCTCGGGTTGAGATTTCTCTATCTTACACAACCAGTNTTTTCTCCCACACCTGACAGATTTATCTCCCGTTTTGCCGGTGCTAGATTTATCTGTCTCCGCCCTAGGGTTGAGACGGGGGGATTCCCCTATTCATAACAATGGCATGACGTCACTTCAACAATACAATGACGTCACGTCAACAATCCATCAACAAATTGCCTGTATGTGTTTTGGGTCCATGTTAACCTTTATTTCACATTAAAATACTGTTAGATATGGGAGAAAAATAATCAATCGCTACTGGTTGTGTAAGATAGAGAAATCTCAACCCTCGGACTAAGACTTTTTGTCCAGAACTCGGCAAGCCTCGTTCTGGACAAAAAAATCTTAGTCCTCGGGTTGAGATTTCTCTATCTTACACAACCAGTAGCGATAGATTCTATTAATCTCACCCTAGGGTTGAGACGGGGGGATTCCCCTATTCATAACAATGGTATGACGTCACTTCAACAATACAATGACGTCACGTCAACAATACATCAACGACGCGTCAACCCTGAATTTAGCATGTAGCGTTGTCATTACATTGTGTATATGATACACATTGAAAGAACAGGGAAAGAGAAAAAGAATCATTCACCCCCTTGTGGGTGAGATAGTGGAATCTCAACCCTCGATCATATTTTTGTAACAGGACGAGGAATAGTGATAAAGATTGTGCCGTCGCTGAGGCTCGAACCCGCGACTCTTGGCTCTCAAGCCCGATGCTCTTCCGCTGAGCTAAAAGGAAATTCCCTACAGCTGACGCTTGTAAGGCAACTTAATCAATGCACATCTTTTACATTTTGCCTTTTTTCTTTTTTTTTTAAATTTAAAATCATTGAATAATTGATTTAGTTCGACATCTTCGATATGCTTTAAACTGGTTACAGTACTTTTTTCATGAACGTTTACTACCTTCAATATTGTATTTCGTTCTGTTAAAATGAATCGATTATCTTTTTCTAACTTATACGGTACCTTATTTGTGTAATTCCTAGACTCAGGTCTGCAGAAGTACTTTGTGGCTTTTCCACTCTCTACTGGTCCTTAGACCTTGTCAGATGTCCATTCTTTCTGTTTGTCTTATTGTTTCTAATTTCTCTTTTTTAAATGATAAGATATCAAAATCTTTTGCTAAATTCCCTCAGATTTTATGTTACATGAATATATATTATATATACAGCCATTAAATACTTCTCACGTTTTGGTAGTTTTTTTTACTTATATTCGGCATGTCTAAAATATAACGCCTTGATCATGGATGTTTCAAAATTCCCCGCGTTATTAGTATTAAGCACTTATTGTTTCTATACACGATTAACTGTGTTTCCCTTACATACTCATTATCATATAGTAAACTAACCAAAGGCTCTTTCCCTTTTCAAAATTGTTGATTGTATTTCTAATGTTCTTATTTATATTAGCTCTATGTAATACATTTATAAAATTGTCAGGGATAAAGAAAAAATCCAGCCAAGCGATTATGTCGGTGATTAAACCAACATTATTTAAGTTGAAAAAAAATCAAAATTTAGCAAAATGATTTAACGATATCATTATATAAAGTAAAAAACGTAGCCGAAAAACATGCAATCTTATTTTCTTTTCTTAGTCACATTAAAAAAAAAAATCTTCGATTTATTCGTGTAATTGCATTTGTATTACCTATTACCTTTATCATATAGCTATATCATATATTTATACCTTTAAATTATAAGTATTCAGGGGACTCAACTCCTCTTGGTATGCGTTCAAGGGAGAGAACTACGGTTATCCAATATGGCGAGCTCCAAGGTAAACAACCGGGTTGCGATGCTCAAGCGAACATAAAGTGGCAAAATATGGAGGGTAAAATGAAAGCAAGAATGAATGGAAACGTCCCAACATCACTTGGGAGACCTGTTGGTTTGATGGCATTAGATGAACCGCCTCCAAGAATGAGAAGGACAATCGCAAGGTTAGTTTTGACAGGACATTGGTTGACCTACTGCCAGTACTGTTCATGGCACATCCGTCCATATAAGCCAGTAGGCTTATTGTGTTATACGTGCATACCAATAGACAACTTCATATTTTTATTGTTTTGTTTGTTTCTACTTATTGTTGAATGTGCTAGTTACATTTCCCTAAAAATTAAAATGAAGAAATGATGAGGAATTTTCTCCCATTTTCAATAAAACTTTGCTTTATGTTCCTGTTATTAGGTACTGTAGTGAAAGTTAACACATATGCTCAGGTCTGTAATGAGGTTAAATAAAAATAAGGAAAATACAAACGAGTTCACAATTGTTTTACTCAAGTTAACTTACTGAAAAGTAGCTTTTCTACTGTGACCTTTTTATTGGATTATAAAATAGTACACCTGGAAAAGGTAAACTTTTGATAAAATTTCTATGTTGTACCACTACCCATCATTGTCTGCTTTTCTGGTAGGTCAGGCTGTACATGTTCTACATCATGTTATTGTCATGTCTGGTTGGTCAGGCTGTACATGTTCTACATCATGTTACTGTCATGTGGTCTGGTTGGTCAGTTTGTACATGTTCTACAGACAATGCTGGAGAGTATTGTGTCCATATACGTTTTTCTGTGAATTTCCTTCTCTATTCTTAGTTAATATCAGCTACCATTGTGAATGAAGACAATATGTTTTGCATAGGATATAATTTTACATTTACATGCACCTGCACACATACACACAAGCACGCATACAAAACACACATGGAGGCATGTCCTTTAGTTGTTGCCTTAGGTGTTGATAGGACATACAAAATTTAATTTTATTATTAATTACAAAGAACATACCGGTATAACTTATAGCCTATAAAGTAAAGTTGGGTATGTGTTGGATTGGTGGAATTGTCCTAATAACAACACGTACCCAAGGGTTGGACATTTCTATCCTATATATGATGTATATATGATAGACTTATTTTCTTATATTGTTAACCAATTTATATTCATGAACAAGATGTGTAGCTGCTTTTTTGCATTAAAATACCACCTTCTTTAGTACTGAACCAAGCTTAGATCACAGTTTGCTTTACACTAAATGTAGAAATAAGATTATAATAAATGAAGATAACTACTGGAACTAGAAAATAAAATTCAACAAAACAGATTGATATGATATTAAACTTTCTGCAGCATGACATCATCTCATTGTCTAAAGCTTTAAGACATCATGTTCATATACGATAGAGGTTTCCATCAGGGGAAAACTAGGTTACATCAGGGGAAAACTAAGTTACATGGCCAGCTGTGTAAACCTCTATCAGGGGAAAACTAGGTTACATCAGGGAAAAACTAGGTTACATGGCCAGCTGTGTAAGAATGAATAAGGAAATGCACAGAAAAGCATGTAAAAACCCATACCTTTTGTTGTCAGCGGGATGAATCTAGGGCTCCCCAACCCTGGCATTCCACGATAAGATATATGCTCTGGGTGAAGAAAAAAAATAGAAAAATTGTGAAAAATGATTTCATATACAAGTACCATAATGACTAGCTGCTCATATTAAAATATGAACTTTCTGTAAAATCAGATCTTTCTCAAATAATCTAATTATCAATCATTATTGCCAGCTGTCCTAGTGATCAGTTGGCTAATCATGCAGTGTCATTATTTTTTTTTTTTTTTTTAATTGCCAGTTCTGGTCGTAACAAACCAGTAATATTACGGCACGATATGGGTGCTGGTCCAACTCCACCGTCCCGGACACAAGACCGCAAAGGTAACAAGGAAATCACTTTGGAGGGAAGTCCAGAATGTGATATACAGTTCATAGATGTTCCAAAAACTGGACAAAATTTGAAAAACACAACTGACCCTACATTTGGTCGAGTGTTAAACACTGATGTGGAGGGAGGCCAAAGGGGGATGGGGCCAACTAGTAAACTGGTAAAAAGGGACTCTAAAGGGAAAATACCAGGTATAGACAGTGGTGCTCCCAGTGGAAGTAGAAGTGGTGCTCCTGACAGTATTATCTATAGAAGTGGTGTTCCTGGGGGTAGCTCTAGAAGTGCTTCCAACGTAAGCAGAAAGGTTGGTGGTCTTTCAAATGAAAGGACAACTGCTAGTGGAATCTCAAGGAACACTGTTCAAAGTGGTGTTCCCAGAAGTGGTCAGAGAGGAGTTGAAGGAAGCAGCAAGAGTGGTGTTTCTGCTAATCGGAGTGGTAACCTTGGTAATCGGAGTGGTAACCTTGGTCAGAGAAGTGGTATAGCCTCTACTGACACGGAGAAATGTGGTCTGCCCAGCAGTGGTAGGCCTAGCAGTGGTAGAAAGGCTGCTTCCTCTGGTAGGAGAACTGGTGCTCCCAGCAGCGGGACTGAAAAAAGTAGAGCTCCTGGCAGTGGTACTCGTAGAGGCAGTGCTTCCAGTAGTGGAAGAAGTAGTGCTTTAAGCAGCACAAGGAGCGGATACAGTGATGCCTTAGAATCCGAGATAAGCCAGAGCACCGAGTTCTCAGAAGTTCCAAAACAGTCCAGAGTCATTGATCCAAAGGAAATTGTAAGTTTATCTAAGTAACTGAGTCTGATAAATCGTTTAGAGTATCATGACCATTAACAACCCTATCCAACAATGATAACTTTTACGAGTCTGATAAACGATCTGTTATTATTGATCAATAACGATAATTTTAATGAGTATGTAGAAGTACTGTAATATTCATATTTTGTATTTAGTAATTATGCCATAGAGAATGTTTCTACAAATGTATAGCTATGATACAATTCTTTGAAAGAAGTAATTAAATGAACAAGAATGAAAAAACAATGAATGTTTGATTGCAGCTTGAGCAGAATCAGGAAGGAGATTTTGAGAAAATTTATGAGATCAATCTCCATGCTGCTGAATTGACTGCCATCTCTAATTTAGAAAAGGTAAGTTGAATCTTAGTCACTCAGTTTTGTTTGACTTGTTTTTTTCTAGTATTAGAGGTATTCAAATATTAGAATGAAGACTTCAAACAAATGCTGAACCCGTCATCAGCACAAAGTCGACTGTTTAATTTATCCTTTGTCCGTGGTCCAATGTCTGTGGTCAGTCCTTACTCATCTCTTGTTGTTACTGTTTCTCATGAAGTCGACACATATCTATCTCAATTTTCATATGAATGTTCCCTTAATTAGTAGTTGTTCATGTTTCATTTTGAGACTGCTTGAAAAAACAGCCATCTTGGATTTTGACAGTTCAAGTTTGTTATTTCTCTAAAAGTCCTTGACCGATCTTTCTCAAATTTCATGTGTACATTTCCCTCGGATAAGTAGTTTTTCCTGTCTGCTACTTTTGTTTCTTATATAGAAATAATGAAGATTTTACGATGGGCACCAATATCCTCTGGGATCTCTTGTTGTTTCAAACTATGCTACAGGTATTTAACTTGACTAAAGGGCCATGTGATTTTTGTAATCGATTGCCCCTTTTTTCTGTCCTTCATCTGTAAACTTTCTTTTTGAATAACTTCTCAAGAACTACTGGACCAATTTTGGTAGATTATTTCCCTAAGTGATTTTAATTCAGATATTGTGAAAGAAAAGGGACTGTACTATTCAGGGGTCCTATGAGGAGTGAAAAGGGGGTGAAGTTTGGGGCATCTAGGGAAATCTTCTCATTTACCAGTCGTTCAATGGTTTTCTTTTGTAGGTTCTCTTAGTACCTGTAGGGCCTACAGCACACTTTAAAGTCTGTTCATAAATGGCTCCTAGGGTAGCAGTGTACAGTAGCGTACTGTGGCCATGGGTGATATTTTTGTACAATGAATAACCCCTGTAATATTACATGTATCGAAAGATAAAAAAAAAATCAGCTCTAAAATTGGCATTATATACATGATGAATTGGACTATGTGGGCTTCACATTTAAAAAAAAATATATTTTGGTTTGAGACCACATTTTTTGCCTTTTACAAATCTGTGTCTACACAACAAAAGCTAGCTTTTCAAGTAGTCTATTTTTGTACTCAGCACATGTGTAAATATTGTAAAACATCTGGTTCGACGACCTATGCTTAAATGTGAGTATCTGTGACCGAGTAGGTGATATTTGATTTAAGACAGGTTTTAAGAAAAAAAATACTACTTGGGTGGGTCAAATTTTGGGTTAAAAATAATATATTTTTGCATTTTTTGATGGTTTTTGATGTGGTATCCATGGTTTTCACAAGTTCCAAATCTGTGGAAATCACTTTTTGAAAAACCGTATTCAAAATGTAGTTTATAAATATATATATATATATGTAGGTGTGTTGTGCAGGATGAATCCCCTATCCATGTTTATCCGAGACATGCCCTTTATTTTTAGGGTCAAGCCATTTCTACTGTACTCTGCTACCTAGTAGCCACTTGAAAATCATTTTCTAATATTTTAATACCAGTACAATTATCTGGAAAATATTGTCTCTTTGTTTATATATATACATGAACTATACAATTTTGTAGGTATTCATGTAAACTTTGTGTTAGAAAATTTTCAAAGTTGTATTATAAAAGGTCGTGGTCACAGATGCATTAGAAAGATGAAAATAGCTAATATTTTATATAATTGAATTTTGTCATTGAAGAGATGCCAGATTTTGAGGTCATGTCAGTTAAAAGGTCAAGGTCATGGATGTATCTGAAATCTAGAAATGGCTGATGTTTGTAATTTCAGACCAATTTTTAAGTAGATATTGGTATTTCGTTTCAACATGTACAGTTGTATGATAAGAGCTTTAGTAATAGTTTTTTTGGCAAATGGTCAAGGCCATGGGATCCATGTCAAGGTCACAATATACAGCAGTACAAATGGTCAAAGCCATGGGATCCATATCAAGGTCACAATATACAGTAGTACAAATGGACAAGGCCATGGGATCCATGTCAAGGTCACAATATACAGCAGCACAAATGGTCAAAGCCATGGGATCCATATCAAGGTCACAATATACGGTAGTACAAATGGTCAAGGCCATGGTATCCATGTCAAGGTCACAATATACAGTAGTACAAATGTACAAGGCCATGGGATCCATGTCAAGGTCACAATATACAGTAGTACAAATGTTCAAGGCCATGGGATCCATGTCAAGGTCACAATATACAGTAGTCGAATGGTCAAGGCCATGAGATCCATGTCAAGGTCACAATATACAGTAGTCGAATGGTCAAGGCCATGGGATCCATACAAATGGTCAAGGCCATGGGATCCATGTCAAGGTCACAATATACAGTAGTCGAATGGTCAAGGCCATGAGATCCATGTCAAGGTCACGATATACAGTAGTCGAATGGGCAAGGCCATGGGATCCATACAAATGGTCAAGGCCATGGGATCCATGTCAAGGGCACAATATACAGTAGTACAAATGGTCAAGGCCATGGGATCCATGTCGAGGTCACAATATACAGTAGTACAAATGTAATAGATTGGTAAATTATCTCGGAGACATGTGGTATTATTTTTCCCCATGCATGTATATATGCATTATATAGAGAATAATACATGCCTTTTTCCATATCACACCCAGTATCAACCCGAAACTGCAATATCAGCCCAAGGGCCGAAGGCCCGAGGGCTGATATTGGTCGAGGGTTGATACTGGGGGTGATATGGAAAAAGGCGTGTTTTATTCTGTTTATTACATACTTACTAATAAACAATACTATCTTATGATTTATTTTTATTTTTGAAATATTGAAAAAACGATTTTTTTTCCAAAAGGGGTGAGATATGGGTTTTGCGGGCTGATATGGGTTTTGGGGTGTGATACGGCGAGGGCTGATATGGGTTAGAGCAATTGTGTCGTATCGCATATACAAAAAAAATGTATTTATTAGTAAGTATGAAATAAATTACAATATAATAGTCATTTATGGAAAGTATGTTTCAAAAAATTTGTCAAGGTTATGACCTTCATGTTGTTCATATTGTGGACTTAGAGGCAAGGATTATTTTGAAGAAAAAGTTTCAAGATCATTGAGTCAAATTTAATGTCAATATCATAAGGTTGTTGTATGTCAGATTGTTTGTTGTATATAAAAAGGTATTAAGGTGAGAGATTTCAGGACGTTGTTCTTACAAATTTTGAAGTTATTGTATACATGTACAATATTATTTGTATATTATGAAATATGATACAACAAACTTAAGAGTTATTATTTGGTTTGCTTTCCACCTTTATTAAAAATTTATTATTCCAGTTTACCAAAGTGAGAGTACTAGACCTGTCATGTAACTTCATTGAGAAAATTGAAAACTTGGAGCCAAACTCGGTAAGTTGGAAAGCTGTGATGTATTTTATGGAAACATCACTAACATTATTATCAGATACAGGACCAGTTAAACATCAACACCTCTTCCCTCTGAACTGCTTTCTGAGAAAGTAAACTGCACATTTGATAGAAAAAATGAAAAGTGTAGCTTGGATCATTTTTAAGACCTTCTCTCTTTAAAATGATTCATTACCAAATCACTTCTGTGCTTTTAATTTCTTCATCTATTTCTCTCAGGATTTGCGGGAACTCAAACTTTATGACAACAGACTTAGGGTGGTGGAGCGGTTAAAAGGGTGAGTATAACAACTAGGGATGCTTGAGTGGTTATCAGGGTTGTTATAACAACTAGGGATGCTGGAGTGGTTATCAGGGTTGGTATATCAACTAGGGATGCTGGAGTGGTTATAAGTATCAGTATAACAACTAGGGATGTTGGAGTGGTTATCCGGGTTGGTATAACAACGAGGGATGCAGGAGTGGATATAAGGGTCAGTATAACAACTAGGGATGTTGGAGTGATTATCCGGGTTGGTATAACAACAAGGGATGCAGGAGTGGATATAAGGGTCAGTATAACAACTACGGATGCTGGAGTGGTTATCAGGGTAGGTATAACAACTACAGATGCTGGAGTGGTTATAAGGGTTTGTATAACAACTAGGGATGCTGGAGTGGTTATCAGGGTAGGTATAACAACTAGGGATGCAGGAGTGGTTATCAGGGTAGGTATAATAACTAGGGATGCTGGAGTGGATATAAGGGTCAGTATAATAACTAGGGATGCTGGAGTGGTTATCAGGGTAGGTATAACAACTACAGATCCTGGAGTGGTTATAAGGGTTTGTATAACAACTAGGGATTCTGGAGTGGTTATAAGGGTCAGTATAATAACTAGGGATGCTGGAGTGGTTATCGGGGTTGATATAACAACTACGGATGCTGGAGGGGTTATAAGAGTCAGTATAACAACTAGGGATGCTGGAGTGGTTATAAAGGTCAGTATAATAACTAGGGATGCTGGAGTGGTTATCAGGGTTTGTATAACAACTACAGATGCTGGAGTGGTTATAAGGGTCAGTATAACAACTACGGATGCTGGAGTGGTTATCAGGGTTGGTATAATAACTACAGATACTGGAGTGGTTATAAGGGTCAGTCTAATAACTACAGAAGGGATAAAAAGAATTAGTATGAAAATCATCTCTATAATCTTTTCTTCATTTTCTCTTTCTAGAACCTCAATTGTTCTTGAAGTTTGCTGTGCTGTCTTTAATAGAATATATTTTAATGAAACTAAGATATCCAACAGAATTTTTAGCTCACCTGGTCCAAAGGACCAAGGTGAGCTTATGCCATACCGTGGCGTCCATCGTCGTCTGTCCGTCAACAATTTCTTTAAACGACTTCTTCTTCTTAATCACTGATTGGAATTTAACTAAATTTGACTCGAAGCATCCCTAGGTGGTAGGGATTCAAAATTGTACAAATGGTAGGGCTGACCCCCCAGGGGGCTGAGGGGCGGGGCAAAAAGGGGGCATTTTGGCTAAACTGCTTTAAGCGACTTCTTCTCTGGAACTAAGTGATGGATATCAACCATATTAGACTGGAAGCATCCCTAGGTTGTGGAGATTCAAAATTGTACAAATGGTTGGGCTGACCCCCCCAGAGGACTGAGGGGCGGGGCCAAAAAGGGGTAATTTGGCTATATTTCTACAAACGACTTCTTCTGTAGAACTATGCACTGGATATCAATCATATTTAATCAAAAGCATTCATGGGATGCAGGGATTCAAAATTGTACAAATGGTGGGGCTGA